GAAATGAAACGAGATAAAGGTTTAAGAAGGAAAAAGAGAGAAAAAAGGCATACACAGAGAAAAGATTTCTTGAAAATAAGATGTAGAAGGTGTGAGTGAGAGTTTTCATGCACAGAAATGAAACGAGATAAAGGTTTAAGAAGGAAAAAGAGAGAAAAAAGGCATACACAGAGAAAAGATTTCTTGAAAATAAGATTTAGAAGGTCTGAGTGAGAGTTGTCATGCATAGAAATGAAAGAGATAAAGGTTTAAGAAGGAAGAAGAGAAACAATGCATACATAGAGAAAAGGTTTCTTGAAAATAAGATGTAGAAGGTGTGAGTGAGAGTTTTCATGCACAGAAATGAAACGAGATAAAGGTTTAAGAAGGAAGAAGAGAAACAAGGCATACACAGAGAAAAGATTTCTTGAAAATAAGATGTAGAAGGTCGGAGTGAGAGCTGTCATACACAGAAATGAAACGAGATAAAGGTTTAAGAAGGAAGAAGAGAAACAAGGCATACACAGAGAAAAGATTTCTTGAAAATAAGATGTAGAAGGTCGGAGTGAGAGCTGTCATACACAGAAATGAAACGAGATAAAGGTTTAAGAAGGAAGAAGAGAAACAAGGCATACACAGAGAAAAGATTTCTTGAAAATAAGATGTAGAAGGTCGGAGTGAGAGCTGTCATACACAGAAATGAAACGAGATAAAGGTTTAAGAAGGAAGAAGAGAAACAAGGCATACACAGAGAAAAGATTTCTTGAAAATAAGATGTAGAAGGTCGGAGTGAGAGCTGTCATACACAGAAATGAAACGAGATAAAGGTTTAAGAAGGAAGAAGAGAAACAAGGCATACACAGAGAAAAGATTTCTTGAAAATAAGATGTAGAAGGTCGGAGTGAGAGCTGTCATACACAGAAATGAAACGAGATAAAGGTTTAAGAAGGAAGAAGAGAAACAAGGCATACACAGAGAAAAGATTTCTTGAAAATAAGATGTAGAAGGTCGGAGTGAGAGCTGTCATACACAGAAATGAAACGAGATAAAGGTTTAAGAAGGAAGAAGAGAAACAAGGCATACACAGAGAAAAGATTTCTTGAAAATAAGATGTAGAAGGTCGGAGTGAGAGCTGTCATACACAGAAATGAAACGAGATAAAGGTTTAAGAAGGAAGAAGAGAAACAAGGCATACACAGAGAAAAGATTTCTTGAAAATAAGATGTAGAAGGTCGGAGTGAGAGCTGTCATACACAGAAATGAAACGAGATAAAGGTTTAAGAAGGAAGAAGAGAAACAAGGCATACACAGAGAAAAGATTTCTTGAAAATAAGATGTAGAAGGTCGGAGTGAGAGCTGTCATACACAGAAATGAAACGAGATAAAGGTTTAAGAAGGAAGAAGAGAAACAAGGCATACACAGAGAAAAGATTTCTTGAAAATAAGATGTAGAAGGTCGGAGTGAGAGCTGTCATACACAGAAATGAAACGAGATAAAGGTTTAAGAAGGAAGAAGAGAGAAAAGGCCTAAAACTAATTCAAGGAGAACGTATGAAAGAGAAAGAAAAATATAAAGAATATAATGAATACTTTTAAAAAAGTAAGAATAAGATAGAAATGTTAGACATTGAAGCAAAACAAAGGGACTAGCAAGAAGTAAAATAAGCGATAAAACAATGAGAGAAGGTAAGAGACAGATTGTGAATGAAACATAGGGATAATTTAAACAAAGAAAAATCAAGGAAGAAGTAGAAGTGGAAGAAAGATGAAGAAGTGAACGACAGTTATGGAAGTAAAAGGGACAATACACTAAAGAGTGAGGAATATATAAAATGATGATAGTATAACTTAGGATAGAATAAAAGTGAAAGACAGAGAATGGATAAAATTACATCTAAACGAAAGGGAGTGGAATAAAAATGTATAGTCAGACAGAGATTAACTACAAAAGCAGAAATGTAGAATGCATGCATGGAGATGGGTTCAAATAGAAAGAGAAGAGAGCTGAAGTGAAGGGAAAATGAAATCATTGTACTCTGATTTTCTTGGGTACTGAGCACTCACAAGAACCAGCAGAGGAGAAAAAAAAAGTGTAACTTTGAAGTCTTAGTGTTAAGTCAGAAATATAACTTCTCTTATATCACATCATAACTGAATTTTTATGGCTATTTCAGTGATAATATAACATTTTATATCTCTATAAGAATAATGATTATAAAATAATGTCTGCTGTCTAACATGGCGTTAGCACCTGATGTCAAGGATAAGTGGTTAAGAGGAAAGAATGAGGCAACTTGTGCAGGAATTTCTGTATCTTCCTGTTTTATCCTGCGGCTTGAATGTGGTAAGGTGTATACTCTTTCTGTCATAACAGGACATGTCCACCAACTTGTTTTGTTTAAAATGTGGTGATTTTGCTTCTGCTTTTTATTTGGAATCCAGAAAATGTTCTTCCGTGAGAGATGTTCCGCTTTGTGCCTGCTGTTAACTTCTTTAAACTTCTTGTTGGTACGAATTATGTCCTCCGGAGAGTACCTTATAAAATGAATTTAAATAAATTTGCTGTTATACTTACTAAAAATGCATAGAAAATTATTTTTAATCATCATATGCTTTTTTAATCTGGCAATGTAAATAAAAAAACAAGACTCTGTAATGGAAATAATATACTTGAATATACACTATTTTCTGTTCATATAATTAAGTTTTGAAATGTGGTTGCTAGAATGCCAACAGATTATTCAAAATACTTTTAAAATACTCAAATTGATAATCACATAAAATCCACAAAAATAAATAGCACAAAAAGTTCACACAAAACACCTCTGTTAAAATTTCTCTCTTATTAATATTAACTGGTGGTGTTTTAATTCTCATTTTTTCTGATGGATTACCGGGGAGCAGATGAAAAAAGAAAGAAAATTGAAAATATGTACTGCTCAGTAACAGGGCTGTGTATGTATGTGCATTTAAGTCCATTTTGCTTACAAAATTCGATCATCTCTCCATATTGCTCCCTTATTTATTGGATATACTCTTTTATAGAGAGGACATATATGCACCAAATGATATAACACAGCCAAAACTTCATGTATATAATATTCAGGGTCCTGAACACAAGGTACATTTGTTGCTTTTGTCTTACCTTTGCTGTTGGGGTAGATTTGTTCTCCAGATGTTTCCTGCCCTGAGGTTGAACTTTCCATCCTCGTTCAGAGGATTCTGAGGTCCCTGTATTTTGTTTGTATTATGTGCTTCAGTTTTCTCTCAGTAAAGCTGTCGTAAGCCTCAAGGGCAGTTGCAGTCTTCATTCAGATTTACTGACAGCCAAAGTCTGAATTTGTTTGTCGAACCTTAAGCAGCAGCCACGCTCTTTGAGAGTTTCCATAACACCCAGTCTTCGATGTTGTTCTGTCGTTGGATTTTCATTTGATGCAACACTGTAAAACATTTCATCTACACGTGGTCTCACCATGGTCCCACGATACATACGAGGTCAGAATTGTTTTCTCAGAACCTCTTCTTCTTTCCTTGAAATTTTATAACTCACTTTCTGCACAACTTTAATTGATTTTGAAGAAAGGCAATGTTTATTAATAATTCACCAGAGGTTAATACTTTCTGTAACATGAAGTGTTGCATTGCGTTTCATAGTTAACATGAAATTTGACTCCTCTGTACCTCTAATGAAGGTGTACAATTTTAAAATTAAGATTACTCTGCATGATCTTGACTACTGGTGTCGTGTACAGAAGACTCTCCCTTTCACCACAACTAATGTATTGAGAATTAAAGCATGCGGTACAAAAAGTGCTCACAGGAACTTCAGTTAAGGAAAACTTGCCACTTAGGCATGATTTAAAGACAAGTCAAGTGACAGTGAACCCCATACTCCCTTGGCGAAGCAACACTTTTTTTTTTTTACTGCAAAGTAAACAAATTTCTTATAATCTTTACTAAGGATGGAAAGTACTACAGTAGGTGTTTCTAATGCTGTTCCATGGCAACAGATAGTATAATAGTAGTGCGATACCATAAATCCTTTCATATGTAAAGTAAAGCTGTCCCACTACACGCCATGTAGACGCTTGGGGGGAGTGGAGGTATAGCTCCTACTCATTCTAGACCTCGACACTAGATGGGGGTGAGTGGTCAACACTACGCCCCGGCCGGCTTTACCCCCGGGAAAGGACCTCGGTACCCATTGGATAGGAGGCTGGGTGGGCCCCAGAGCCGGTCTGGACGCAGAGGCTAGAGGAAAAATCCTCTCCCCCCCGTCGGGGATCGACCCTCGGTCGTCCAGTCTGTAGCCAGTCACTATGCTGACTTGGCTACGCCGGCTCTTAAATCCTTTCATACTTTTTATAAACTGTTCAGTCGGGGAGTAAAAGAGAATGTTTATTTATAATATTGTCACCAGTGAGCTATTATTTCAGAATAATTTATTTTAAGAAAAAGCATTTTTGTTAGTTGTTAATGAAGATAGCTATTAAATTTTAAATGATTTAAGTAATTTTCAGCTGTTTTTTACCTCTTCAACTTGTTCCTTGTGAGAACACGAGTGGTAAATGGTGAATATTTGCAAAATCCTTCTCTCTTGACATTTAAGTACTCTTTTGAGCTTTGAAATTGCTCCATACTAAAAGACATTTCTTGTATTATTGTGTTTTGATCGCCAGAGTTCACAAAAACAGTTTTCAACATATTTTAAGATGCATGTGACTGCTTCTAGTTTCTTTTAAAGAAGAATTTCACATTTTTACTTACTAAGTTGAACTCTTAGAGAAGAACTCATTTCTTCTGTAGTCTATTCAGGTTTATGTAGCTTCAAACTGAAAGAATTAAAAAAATTAATTAAATGCATTTTAAAATCCTTCAGATTGTTGAAATTTGAATGTTGCAGTTTCTGTGCAGTGCAAAGCTGTTATTCCCATCATTAGTATAATATGAAATGGAAATTAGGTTTTAAAACGTCTAGATCATTACAGCGTTTGAATTGTCTTTGAACCATGCATTTAGAGACAACAATCTACCTTGAGGATAAAGCAAACCAGTGGAAGTGAGAATTATAAAAACTACTTAAATATAGAAACAGAAAGTCGTTCAAGGACTAAACAGATTGAGGAGAAGGTGCAACTAACCGCTACTCTAAGAAAATAACAGGCACAAAAGTTAGAGTTGAAGTTTAAACACTGGAAAAAAAAAGTGGTTTTATTGTACAGAATTTCTAAGTTTCCACAATAAAAGAAATAAAAGTGAAAATACAGAGACAGGTTATAATTCAGTTGTCAGAAGAAATGTGATAGATTGCAGGAAGACCCTTTATCCATGGATAATATCCATACAGGGGTAGCAAATGTCCGAAGGCTTCTAAATCACTACAAAGAACTGTCGTGTATAGTGGTCGCAGTATTTTTTTTGCCGGTGGAATATTCAAGGGGAAGGCTAGGAGCGAGTCACTTGTGCGATAGTATAATGCTGACTGCACCGAGGAGCTGAACGCCCAAACAAAAGAAATACACTGACCGTGCCACATCAAGTACACAGAGTAGGTCCGTCCGCCAGCTCCGCCGGCCAAAAACTACTGCGCCGACTATACATACATACGTAAATCTGTTAGGCGTGGTGTCTTTGTGGCAACGAAGTTTAGATCAGAGCGCACGTCTGCAGAAGTAAGAAACGGACTTGTGGATGCACTGGTCCGTTCTTAAACGGCTTCCACTCAGAATGCTGATGTAAAGTGTAGCGTAATAACAGAAAGCAGCTTGAAGAAGTTAATGGAAATAAAATTATGATCACTTGTTCTAGTTAAATATGTTCCCTTTTTTTTTAAATCAGTGTTTATATATTTTTTGCATTGTTTTGAGACATGCAAATGTTTTGAGACTAGATGCTAAAGAAAATGTAATGATGATGAATAATGACTTTGTTTGTTTATGTAGCATTCTTCTTATTAAAATTTCATGTAATTCCAAGAAATTTTATCACAGACTGAGGAGTGTTAGATTACCAAAGCTAATTTGATAATCAGATATCAAAATGTGTTGTAATTATATGAAATATCTTGAATTTCATTATTTCAGAAGTTTATAGGCTTTAGAACTTCAATATAGGCACAAATCAGTAGTAAATGGACTGTGAAATGTTCACAAAGTGATTTGTACAAAGAGTGACTTTGTTGTTGTTGTTATTTCTGGTGATCTTGAAGGTATTGTCTGTGCTTTCACGTGTCTGAGATTCGAGACATTTCTTATAACTGAATTTCATATGCAGAAACGAGGTTTCCAGAGGTGGGAATGGGTTATTGTTTCTTAGCTATGCGAACTCCGCTGAATGTTGAGACAGGTGCCGTTTCACTTTCTGGGCTCAAATCTCCATCTTCAAGCCAGATTGCTGCTTGATCTCCAACCTCCATGTTCAACAGAACAACATTAGAACCTCCACCACCAGCTGTTGATACAACTGTTGTCCAGACTTTGCTATTTGCGTCTTTCTTCTTCAGTACAAATCTGTGGACAAAACAAAAAAGAAAAATACTGAGGTGCTGAAATTGTACATGTGATTACATCTTGACTAACTTGAGAAACTGACGGTCGCTCAGCTCTTCAAGAAATTCCTCACCTTTTATGAAACGTGAAGTTTTATTACTGTGTTTATAGAACCCCATCACTGGTCCAGATTAATCTGTTCCACATCCTCCAAACATTTTCCCTTAAGATCAATTTTAATATTATCTTCTTATATAAACGAAGATATTCCAGGCTTTCCAACTAAAATTATGTATTCATTTCTTATCTCCCCCACCCAATGTTCTCTTCCCTTCAGGCTTTCCAACTAAAATGATGTATTCATTTCTTATCTCCCCCACCCATTCCATCCTCCATCATAAATTTCACCTGATTCGACATTTATTTAATGCCATTTCAAAAAAATATAAAGCAAATCAGCAATACTGAGCTATCCGGGCTCAGTTGTAATATTAACAGAATGTAATGAATGATGCTCGTAGCTAACCTTGTCGCTGCCGTCTTGCCACTTCCAGCGAAAGCGAACTGGTACAGTCCGGGACAGAAACAAGTAAACTCCCCAGAATCACGACCCCAGCCGACACCCTTGTCAATCAGTGCTTTGCGGAACCCCAGCTTTCCGTTTTCCTCCTTGGTAGGGGCGATCGCCCCAGCACTGGAAAACGCCACTGCTCCGTTAACCTTCCGGAAGATCCGGTACTGCTGCACTGCACAGCGACGCTGCAGCCATGATGAGATGGAGTCCCACGACGACGGGGGCCCTCATCCTGAAACACCACATTCGCCTCCCGATAGAGTAATTTTACCCTGAAAACGCGAATAATGAGGGATTTAGACGGAATTTGGAAGGTCTTAAAGAAGTCGGGCGCGGTCTAGATTGAATTGACTCAGAATAGGGTCCAGTGGCGGGCACTTGTGAACATGGTAATACGCGTTAGAGTTATGTAAAAAGCGTGATGGTTCTTGAAAAGTTGACCGACTGTCAGCTTGTCAAAAAGGACAGTGCTCTCCGTGGGGTTAGTTATATCAGAGGTATTCAACCTTTTTTGTTCGCGTACCCCCAGATATAATTTCTCTTCAACTTTGCACCCCCAAAGTTGTTGGTGTATAATTCAAGTTATATATAGTATATAATCTACATCTAAAATAAATTAAATATATTACATTACTGATTATTTAGTGTTTATCGTAAAATAATATATTTTTTTAAATTTTAAGTACCTCCTAAGATGTCTTTGCGTACCCCCGGGGGTACGCGTACCCCAGGTTGAATACCACTGAGTTATATCATCCACCGTGGACTGTCTTGTATACGAATTACTGACGTTGAAAGAAGATGATTGTAAAAAAATGTTATAGAAAGATTTTGTATGGCTGTTGTACACTTAACTGACTTTTGTTAGTTAAATAGCTGGTACGTTCAGTGCCGGAGTCTCCCATCACCATCACTTCCGTACCTTTGTAATTGTCTGCAACTTTCACGTTGCACAAGATAATAGCTTGAGGCTTAGGGGAACCTCTTATAAAAAAAACAATTGAATATCTCTACTTTGGCTGTTGAAGCGAAGACAGAGGACGAATGCACTCACCTCAGTGAACATTTCCAAGCAACGATTTTGAACTTTTTTTTTCATTTGACATGTCTGACAAACTCAATTCAGCTTCAGAAAATCTTGACTAATTGTATTTTTTTGTTTTCAGCGCGTGCCACCAACGTCGAGAAACGGAAAGAAAAGTAAGTGAAAAGAACCACTTATAAAATACTCCTATTATCCGTAAATTGAATAAGACTTAGACAGAACGCAGTGAGAATATAAGATTTGATGTTTTCGCGGCGAATACCATAAATCGGGTGTAGTCTTTCGGGTTGTGGCGCTATCTGGTTTTGTGGGTGGTTGAACAGCACTGAAGATGGAGGCGGTACTTTCCTCCGAAACGTCGGCAACCACCTACAACACTTCAAGTAGTGAGACGAGACCATTTCTTGTGTTTGTAATTTATCTCCTTTTGTTATATTTTATTACCAATTTCATAATGAAGATTTGAGTTAGATGTACGATGTAGTGCAATGCAGATTGAAGCTTTTGTGTCTTCTGAACTGAACGTATCTTGCTGAAGACTCGAAAATAGCTCTTGAGCCAACGCAGTAGCCTACAGACATAGACTCACTCAGCAGCATTGAGTAATAACAGACTGGAAACCATGGTTACAAGATACTTTATAGTTTCGTGTCCCTTTCAAGGACCTTTTAAAGACTTTTCAAGGAAACGTCAACTTTTGTAGCTGTTACGGGATCTAATATGTAGGTGAACGTTCACAATTTTTACTGATCTTTAAAGAGATCAATGCCCTCCAGAACCTGATCGGAGACCACACACAACTCAGGTGATCCAAGTCAGACAGTGGAGTCCTATGGATGCTGAATGCTTTCTTGTCTGCTGACTATAAACGTTAAGACTAAAATATTCAAAACTATGGCTTTGCTTGTTGTTTTGTATGGGTACGAAACTTGGTCTTTTATACTAAGTGACGAACAGAGATTGATGGTGTTTGAGAACAGGATGCTGACAATAATGTTTGGACCCAAGAGGGTTAAATTGACATAATTACGGAGAAAACTCCATAATGATGAGCTGAATAATTTATACTCTTCACCAATTATTATTATAATTATATCAAAGGAGGATAAGATCGGCCGGGATATGTAGCACGCATGTGGAGATGAGAAATTGCTGTTTCACACACATTCTGTGGTCTGAAATATGGCGCCCTGAATTGTTATAGACCCAGTAAGTGTTCGGTAATATTATCGGTTAATAATATTTGACTCCTTCGATATTGTTGTCGCTTCTGTCAATTGGACACCCCGTCCATCGTGCTTGAGAAGGCAGAAACCGCAGGGATACCAACCTACGCACGTAGTATGTATGAACGCATTTTAGCGTGTGCGAACAAGTGCCCAGACCTACGCAGTTGACACGTACTCTGGGGTGAAGAACAGATCGTCTGCTGTTATTATTCACTGGCAGGTATCTAAGGAAGGAGATGAATCACGTCAGAGTCATTGCCCTTGCTTTACCTCAGTTTCTTCCATCCACGCAAAATTCATTACGCCCTGTCATTATCGAATATCAAATGAACATGAAGCGGGAAGTTAATTTTGTGTGTCCTTATCATGAGCCGTATGAATCGAGTACACACGCACTCACGTCGTATTTTCTAAGCTCCATCTTAATGTGATCCTCTCAAGCTCCATCTTAATGTGATCCTCTCAAGCTCCATCTTAATGTTATCCTCTCAAGCTCCATCTTAATGTTATCCTCTCAAGCTCCATCTTAATGTTATCCTCTCAAGCTCCATCTTAATGTTATCCTCTCAAGCTCCATCTTAATGTTATCCTCTCAAGCTCCATCTTAATGTTATCCTCTCAAGCTCCATCTTAATGTTATCCTCTCAAGCTCCATCTTAATGTTATCCTCTCAAGCTCCATCTTAATGTTATCCTCTCATCTTAATTATCCTCTCAAGCTCCATCTTAATGTTATCCTCTCAAGCTCCATCTTAATGTTATCCTCTCAAGCTCCATCTTAATGTTATCCTCTCAAGCTCCATCTTAATGTTATCCTCTCAAGCTCCATCTTAATGTTATCCTCTCAAGCTCCATCTTAATGTTATCCTCTCAAGCTCCATCTTAATGTTATCCTCTCAAGCTCCATCTTAATGTTATCCTCTCAAGCTCCATCTTAATGTTATCCTCTCGTCTACGAGTGGGCTTACAAAGCGGTCTGTATCCTCTTGATATTTTGACTAAAATTCTTTGTTAATTTGTCAGATTTTCCATGCGTGCTACATGTCCGTACCCGTCTCATCCTTGTTTGATTCGATCGCTGTAATGATATTTGGTGAAAATTACAAGCAGTGAAACTTCTGAATGCGTAATTCTCTCCGGTCTCCTGTTATTTCCTGTCTTCTGTTTGTTTTGATATTCCCGTTTGATTCGTATGTTTTACATTTCCAAGGCCTTTTCGCCAAAATAGTCCCGGATGCTTCCTTCACAATTAGAATTAATTTACATCTTAGGTCACAGGTAGAGATCACTGATGAAGAAAGAGGCTGATGTTGACGTGGACATAAGAAGATGTTTATGAATTCATTTGATTATCGTATCTGCATCAGAAGGCGTTAAAATCACGTGGGTGCTCACCTTCGCAGGTCGTATACGTCTCTGTTGTTAACTGGCGACTGTTTCGAAATTTTGACGTCGATGTTTTCATTTAAACTTTGACATATTGCGTAATTGCGAGGAAATTTAACGATAGGTGAAGGAGTTGACTTTGTTCTCAACTTGAGACGTGTGAATTTATGTCTCCTCTTGAACTTCCTACGTGCGAGTGGAGAAATACTGGACACTTCGGGCGTAAGGTGGATCCGACTTTAATAGAGCTGAGCGCGTTTTGGAGCAGAATCAGCCCACTCGGAAGTGATGAACCAGCTCTTGATCATTTAAAGGTTGTTGACCTGTTTGAAAGCTAATCTGAGGCCACCCACTTAAAATCAACACGAAATTCATAAACATTTTTTTTAAATCCTTCATTTGCAAGTGATATTCGTGTTTTTAATATTCTTTCTTGGGAGCCCAGGGTTCACAGGCATACTAAACAGCAGGTAACGTAACTGACAAATAGCCCATTTTTTGTAACACTGGAGTGTCCACACGAGGAGTATGTTCACTTTATTTTAAACGCTGTTTTGACGTAAATACGTCTATATTTTCGGGTCAGTGTTATTCGGCAAAAAGTGTAACGAACAAGTGTAACTGCATTGTTATGTTACCTTGGAAACGTCATCTGTTTACTCAGCATTGTTGTTACCTTACATTACCTTACATTACATTACATTCAGCTACCACAGACCCATCTTAAGCGTAACTAATTCAAGTTAAATAAGCAAAGTCTTAATCAAACTTTACTCAATTGTAAAGCGGATATAAAGGAAATATTTAGAATAAAACCAATATATAAACTTCCTTTCCGTATAGACGTATTTACGTCTAATTCTCCGGAACCGTGGTTCCACTATCACTTTTTTTCCTCGCTTGTATTTGATGTCGGCGGCGTGTGGCTACGTGTGGGACACGCCCCGCCCTTGACACGCGGTTTCGTATATAATTATTGCGTCCAGTTTTCTCTGTTGTCTCAGGTTTGTGACCTTGTCTAAACTTTTTGGCACGGTCTGTCGCTTTAGATTCCGCCCCTTGTAGGGTAGGCAGCGTGACGAGCATAAGGATAAGTACTGTGCCAGACGTAAGGTTTGTAGCGTTTTCTTCACGGTTCAAACAACTTCCTTACAAACAAGCGATATTTGTGTTCCAGTTGAACGACTTTCGTTTATTGTATTGGTTATGTAAGCTAAGTAGGAAGGTGAAATACAGGGCATTATTAAAGTTACTCCTGTTACATGTTTGATCTGTAATGTTTCTAGGCGATGAACATTTCATATTAAATTCTGTTATCGCAATCCTGATTTATAGCCACGGTGGTCTAGCGGTTAGATCGCTGGCCTTGTAATCCTGGGGTCTCGGGTTCGATTCCCGGCGGTGCCCGAATTTATAACTTGTGTTGGGCAAGGCCGTGGTCTAGGCAACACGGAGTTTTCCTCCGTGGCATCCCAACAATTACCCCATTCACACACAGAAGAAGGCAATGGCAAACCACTTCTGGATCATCTGCCAAGAACGTATATGAACAGGTCCCAGTCCGAGAAAAGGATGGAAGGATCCTGTTCATATGGACCTGTCGTCAGACAGAACACTACAAATAAAATAAATAAATAATCCTGATTTGGGTTTGAAGTTTTGTAGTGATGCGTTGTAACATAGTTTTATTACTCTTATTTGCATTTTCCGAAAACCTCAGTAGCCGATGTGGAATCTCTAAACAACTTGCGGTTCTATTAGAATTTTGAAAATCTGGTAATTAAATCTTGGGCGTGGCTGTAAATAGAGTTGTGTCGCTTTACTTTGAACGCCACTGGAAAAATCCGTATAAATGACGGAGTTGGCAATTCGTGGACCTTAATTATTACAACTCGCTTTTTATAATTTATGGAAATCATAAACACATTATGTGGGTAAAAGGCACCGGTATTGGTTGTTACAGTAGGTGGTACGTATAGTTACCATTTGACTTTAAAAGGGTAACGCGGATGTATTTTGTGCATTGTATGAAAATAGGAATGTTTTGTATCGGGATATTTTGCGCTGAGAAAAATTGCAACCCTGCCTTCCAGATTAAAAAGGTTGACAGAATAACTGTTTGGTACAATTCGTCCTTGGAATATGAAACAAGTTATTTTTGGTTTATTTGATGGCGCTTCTGGCAACTTCTTTGTTTTTAAAGTTCGCGTTTAAGATCCGTGTATGGTAACATCGGTTTTTTATAAATTATATGCGATGATGTTATGATAATGAGGCGAATCCATGCTCAGTAGTTCCATGTCGCGGACTGCCTCGGCCGTTATTGGAAAGTTTGTTGCTGAAGTGTTGAAAGTCGACGTGATTTCTAGCTCGATGTGTTTTTGTTTTCAAGAGAATAAGAACAAAAAATATTCAGTTCGTGACAGTACGTGAACTTAGTAGAGACAAATACAAACGAAGAAATCTCACGTGATCTGCGTTGAAAGTAGTCTGGGTCCGCCATCGACGTGAATTTATTTACAGCGCATGTCCGTATAACGC